TAAATGCAGTTTTCGGACAATTCCCTGCTCAAAAGTTCTTGTCTCTTGCACTGATTTCTTCTTTTAACATTGTGAAGCTCTACTTAGAACCTTCTTAAGATYCAMTAGTGCAAAATGCAAATTCTTGCACTTTTTTGACTGGTCTTAAGATTTTGATCAGGAGTGTATGATGAAGTCAAGACTCAGCGAGTGAAAAGAAAATAATCTCTCAATGATCCCAGATAAATTTCAAGTTAAAATATGTTTATCAGTGTTCTACCATTGTAAAATACTGATTTTATGTTAGCTTATTAATCCCAAAAATACAATRATCTTCATATGGCTGGAAAATGCATAGCATWGCTTTAGCCGCCACAATTATTTGASCAACTCAGAAATGGCAACGCTGTCAGTTTTAAAGATACTGTGGTTAGCTGTATGTTAAGCTGTAGTTAAGCTGCAGTAATGTCCAAATTTCCCCACTGTGGGATCAATAAAGTTTTTATCTTATCTTATTTTATCTTATCTTACCTTAAAATKTGGTGTAGTAGCACAACTGGATTTGCCAAGTGTTATTCAGTGAGCAAATTAATGAATTAATTAGTAAATTATTTTACGTCCTTACCAAAAAGTACCATAAGCAAGTGTCCTTTATGTTTATTAATCTAAGAGTATACTTTCTGTTTACTTTCTATGTATACATCAGCAATATACTTAAAGCTTATATTATCGATATTTGGCTTATGATAAAAATATATACTAAAAGTCTAAGTATATATCAGTGTACTTGGTAAATGCAGTTGTGTGACCCCCCCACCCCCAAACCAGTAACTCTAATTGTCCCGAGATGTGAGTGAGAGTGAACGGTTGTCATTTGAAACCATGTGGCATTGTTAGATTTAATACTAATTTATCAAAAAGTTACGTTAGAAATATGAGATGAAAGTACAACAGTTTTCTCAGATGGCTTTCTCAGTACTACTAATAAAAAGATGTTTCTTACTGGACTTGAATAATGTGCAAAAGTCTTGAGTCACTACCCATTTCCTTTCCTTCCAATGAGCCAGACTTCCTTCTAACCCTAAAAAGCAGCAAAGATTTCTTCAGGGTTTCCAAAGATCTTTCAGTTTTTCTTTAGACTTTCAGGAAGTCTGAAGAACTACTGTGTAAGACATCTTTATAAGATTACAAGAAACTCTTGCTGCTTGGAAACAAATAATCCCGCAAGTAAAAAGTGGCATAAAACTTTTGCTGTGTTAGATTGAGACAAGTCTCACAAAAGAATAAACAAATAATGTCCACCTAAAATGACCTTGAATCAGTGAAATGCGTCTGAATCTCTGACAGATATTAAAGTGATGAAATAACAGAGACATCTGCTGCATCTCAGACGTGARACAGCAATATTTATAAAATACTGACCAAAAGGTGCTAAGACTTAGAAAAAAATGTGTGACAGCAGTTCCCACATCCACCTACACTGCAGCATCTGTGTGCTGTTCCAGTCAACCCAAAACAACATTATCATCACCAAGGTTTTCTTCCAGACCTACAGGGCATGAGGAGTTAACCTGAGCTGAGTGAAGCCAACTGGACGATCATGTGACTTGGCCCGTTGTCACAGATGTAAACAATTCAGGCCAAGTCACGTGATTGTGTGAAATTATAACATGTAATATCTCATAAACTGTAGTAGCACAAACAACCGTTTCAACAGCATAAACCTGCTCAAACAAAGCACTACAAAATTTGACTAGTTTGCAGTGCTGGCTTTAGCCATTTTGGTGCCCTAGGCGAGTTGAAGCGCAAGCCCCCCCGAACTATGTCCCACCCACCCCAATTTGAACCATTAAAAGCAAGTTTGACAGTGTAAGGTACTATGATGAACTTAGATTTATTTGGCCCCCTCCCCCGGGTGCGAGTTGTATGGATTTTTTGCAAAATTTCCGGATTTTTGAGGCTTTCTATACAGGTACGTCCGAAGAGGTTGACATGTATGGGACAACAAAATACAGACTTGTTGTTATTGAGTTTGTCAACATGATCAGCTACCTGAGAGGCACTAGCTCCTCCCTCGTCAGAGTGTCGGAGCAGGACGAGTCAGTGCAACGTCAATCAAAGGAGAGAGAGGGTGGGGGCATTTGCTGCATTGGGGTGGGGGGGAATGTTTTATGGGCAGAGTAGTTTATTTCTCCTGTAATACTTCATTATAGTTTTTAAGACAAAGCTAATTGAAAGGGCAGAGTTACAACCAGGGATTACAAATAATTACTTTTTTTCTTCTGCAGTTTGGCGCCCCCTCCAGCAGATGGTGCTCTAGGCGACCACCTAGTTCGCCTATGCCAAGAGCCGGCTCTGCTAGTTTGGTTCATTTTTGGTTCATTTTGGAGTGAGTGGGTGGGATGGTGACCCCTGAATGACCCTTACAAATAATATATAAAAAAAACCATAGCAGCACAAACAACAATTTCAAGTGTACAAACCCGCAGAAATGGAGCACTAACCACTAATCATATTTGCCTTTTTTTTCCCCTGTKGTTTATTTTTTGGGAGGGTTTGGCTTCTCTCAGCTGTTAAACTGCTATTCCTGTCAAAAAGCAACAAATTCATTCCTCAAAAGCAATGGCTTTCCTCTCAAACTATAAGCAACTCTGCTCTGTGAAACAATAAACTAAAACAAAACAACAACAACAAAAAAAATCTCATAAAAATCAAAACAGCAAAGCAAATGCACTTTTCTATTAGATAAAAGAAGCCATTTAAAAAAAATTCAAATAAATTAAAAGTCTTGCTTAGTAAAATAACGTTTCAAAATTAATAATTCTGTTAAGATTAAAGTTAAGTTTTAGTGTCAGTTTTAGGATTAAGGTTGGATTAAGATACCTGAGGAGACAAGAGGTTATTAGACTAACAGACTAAATGACATCTTTCTTCAAGGACGTGTGTGTTTGCTCAGTGTACCTGTCGAGTAGCACCCTGTGGTCCTCTCCTCTTCTGCTGCCCTGGTGTGCCTCATTAAAGCCGCGTTACAGGACACCTCCCCCTCCTCCTCCTGCTCCACACAACAGATGGACAGACGCAGGGCGAGAATATTCCACAGAGTTTGGAGGGGTGTCTCTGTTTATATAACCCAGTGAATCTTATTAAAAAGCCGCTCTCCTTCCGTCCTGAACTCTGGGTTAATTAGCTCACTTCCTAGTTGCCGGCATGCACCGAGGCCTCTGACTGGTCACAGCGGTTGCTATGAGTGACTAGGTTCGCCTTATCTCCTGTTGCCTGTTGGGATTCGGCAGAGGAGCTGTGGCTTAGAAGGAAATCTTCATGAAGTGAATAAAAGAAATATTAATCACACACACAGCAGCACACACTGATAGACACAGTTGAAAAGTTGCCCTCATGAGGATGTATACACAAACTTAGACACTCCTCACAAGCTTTTTTGCCCCCTAAGTTTTTCTTTTTGAGTTTTGTCGAAATGAAAAAGGTCTGTTCAGAAGATACAGGGAGGTGTGGCTGCGTCTCAGTTCAGRTTGCAGCCCACTGCAGCCCACATAGACCACCAGTGTAGGTTTCATAAACGGCTGTGAAATGAGACGGACCAGTCTACGGATGACATACATTTGCGTGACCACGCACTGCCTCTTTACCACAGTAACACATTTTATATCACATCCCTTCAGTTGTCCTTTCTCGTAACTTCACAAAATCTTTATTATTTAAAAAAAGTTAAAAGTAAATAAGTTTGGGTTTATCGCCAGCATCAATACTTGTAATTAAAATTTAACATCTCATTGCAGCAATAATTTCATCAGCTAAGTTGCATTTTGAAAAAGAATTCTTCGGTCTGTGATAGACTTCCAAACTCCACCATAAAAAAATAAAATAAAATAAAATAAAACCTTCGCCATCTTTGTTTTCCTGTTTAATTTGTTTATGGTGCAATGAATCCTGGGATGTCACTGGCAATGTAGGATACTTAGATGGAGCCTAAG